GTGACAAATGAAAAATCCTGCACCTGGGACAGAATACCAAAACATGCAGTACAGGTGAGATCTGCGTGGCCAGGGAGCAGCCTTGCTGGAAGGGACCTGGGGGCCTGATGAACAAAAAGCTGAACATGAGTCAGCAGTGTGCTCCTGCAGTGATGAAGGTAAATCAGATACTGGGCTGCACTCACAGGGACATTACTAGCTGAGATGGAAATGTGATCATCCCACTCTGCTCAGTGCTTGTGAGGCTACATTTGGAGTACTGTGTCCAACTCTGGCCTCCACAATTCAAAAAAGATGTGGACAGACTGGAGAGGATCCAAAAGAAGACTACAAAGATGATCAAAGGGCTGGAGAATCTGCCCTGTGAGAAAGGATTGAAGGAGGCTCATCTTCCTGGAGAAGAAAATGCTTGGGGGGAACTTCATCATAGGATTCTAGTGTTTCAAGGGTGGTACAAAGAGGATGGAGCCTCTCTCTTCACAAGGAGCCATGTGGAAAAAAACGAGGGGCAGCAGATACAAGTTGCACTGGAAGAGGTTTAATCTCAATATGAGAAAGAAATTTTTAGAGTGAGAACAATCATTCACTGGAACAACTTCCCCAGAGATGAGGTAGAGTCCTTATCACTGGAGGTTTTAAAGATGCAATTGAACAGAGTGCTCGATTGATTTTTATCTAGATTCCCTTTCCCATGTAAGGTTGGACCAGATGATCTTTTGAGGTCCCTTCCAACCTTGGCTGTTCAATAATTCTGAGATTGTTTCTACAAGTAAATTGTTTTGTGATCTTGCATTCTCATGAGTGTCAATCTCTCTTCCCCTCCTCTCTGTCCTGCTCCTTTCAAGGCAGGACTGCCTCAACATGGATCATCATTACTGCAGTTCCTTCCCATGAAGCCAGTGACCAACACATGGCCAACCCAGGAGGACTGTAATGAGATTATTATTTTTTTCTTGGTCAAAGTGGTCCTCCCAGCAAACTTTTGAATCAGTAGCCTAGCCTGACTGGTACTGACAGTGGGTCGGGGGCACTTCAATTCCTACCCATGAATTTCTTTGAAATGACAAGTTTTTCATAAATGAAGCTGTAAAGAACCAAGTGAAGAAAAGTAGAAATAAAACTCAGAACACAATCCGAACTCCAACATCTACACGTTGATTTGGTTTCTTTTTCACTAGATCTGGAGATCAGTTTCACTTCCCCGTTTTAATTACTAGTTTTTGTAGGTCTCTTTAGAATACTGATACTATGCTGTGAACTGTGGCAATGCTAGGAAACATTTTGAAAAGTTAAAAAGACTGCTCATTCTACTAGAAACTGTGTGGTCTGGCCCTGTTCCAAAACAAGTCTTGTTACTTGTCCTGAGACACACAGTTAGAAACATACGTTTGTCTTGATTACTCAAAATATAGTTTACTAATTAGTTGATGTCAGTTCTAGTTTGGCAATTTGGCAGTGAGGAATGGGTTTTTTTAATATGTTCAGTTGATTCAGAGCATGAGAGGAAGCTTAGTTGTTCACCTCAGGTACAAACCCAGAGTTATCTAGGCTTTACTGATTAAAGGAAACCATCCATATGCTGAATCTTTTTATATGTAGTTAATTACTACCATATGGAAAGAAATCTTACATCATTCCTCATAGGTACACTATCCAGTACTGCAGGCTGAGCAGACCTAGGAATTTATTTTAATTGTTAGTGGGAGGTTTAATACCTCTTACAAACTGGAAATGCCAGGAAATAATTGGTATCTCAGTTCATGGGAGTGTTTATCATTTAGATGGCCCTCACACACACTATAAACAGTCTAAATACTAATGCTGGAAAGACCAATTTACATTTAGTCTATACTTAGCTCTTCCTTGTGTTTCCCATGAGGGCAATTTCACAGTGAGAGCAGCAGGAATGAGCACTGCTCATGGCAAGCCATTAGAAGTACTTTTTTAAAATTTGAAAACAGAACAAAATATTATTTGTAAAAAGTCTCAAATGATGGAAACATCTAGAGCATTTTACTTGTACTTGGACTCTTATTGCTTGAGTGTGTACATAGTACTGAATTGGTGCTAGCACTGTTATGGGGAAGTGGCTATAAAATGTCACGCTGTCCTACATTAGTTCACGAGCTACTCCAAGAAGTCTGTAGCAGTGGATGAGGATGTTGTCATTGCTGGTGGCTGGATTTGAAATAGCCTTTGTGATCTGCTTCCTTGCAAATAAAACCAGGGGCTAATCTTAACGTCTGGTTATTGGTGAGATAAGATGCTTCGTGTTCTAGAGACTACAACATTGCTGGGTTGCTGTGATCAATTGGTTATTTTATATATTATGATAATAATTATGTACAGAAAGGTAATATAAATGTAGTAAATATATTGGTTAGTTTAGTGCAGGCTCAGGACATTAAATCATCTCACCTTCTAAGTCACTGCTTTTTGCTTGTGTAGGAAACTGTCAAGGATTTGAGGAAAGTAATGCTTTTAATTGGCACTTGCTCTGAAAAGTCTTTTTACATGTAATTCACTAAACTTGTTGGCTCTGAGATATTTTGAAACCCTGTGTGCTTGATACTCATGCTGATAATGGGCAGTTTCAGACCTGAATGAATTTATAATCTTATTGAAGGCATAGGTTTCCTCTGTAGGAAACCTTGTGTGTTACAATTTAGCTGTAACACAATTTACAGTTTATCTGGGGGAGAACGGGGACCATCAGGTCTCCAATGTAAGTCCTTTGTTACATTAATCTGATAATTTCACTGCTGACTTTTAGATGTTGGATGTGCTCTTGGGCACTGCAGCTCGGTCTGATGAACCCCTCACTAGGGAAGCTGCACGTTTGGGTTCGCAGAAGTCAGCTCTAGGTTTGGAGTGTGGTGAGAAGGCTGCAGTCTCAACTGTAAGCAGGTTTGTTCTACTTGGGGCAGCAGTCCACATGGCAACTGACATGCTGGAACCAAGGAGGGATGTCTGAAATTTCCTTCCAGTAGAGGGAATGGGAGCTGGGAGGAATGGCTTAGAGGGCATATGGACAAAGACTCGTAGGAGCACTCTGGAAGGCCTTCCTTGGTAATTCTTTGCAGGATACAACCATGGAGAGAAGGACACATTGCAGAGATGGAAATTAAATTGAGATTGTTGTCCATGCTTGATTATGACTAACAGTAGCATATGTTTTTCACAACTAGATTGTTTTCAGTTCCAAATATATACTACTGCAGCAAAACTTGTCATGTGTTTTCACAGAATTGCAGAATAGTTGAGGCTGGAGGGGACCTGTAGAGGTTTTGGAGGGGAGAAGGACTAGGGTGGTAGGGATTAGATGTTCTCTTGCTCTCCTTTTTGAAGCAGGATGTGCTTGAAAGATAGTATCTCTGGGTTCTCCACTCTGTAACTTGTCTAAGCTTACAGAAGTCAAGCTTTTGTCTTTTTTTTTTTTTTTTTTTTTTTTTTTTTTTTTTATGTAGCAGTGGCTCTGCATGCAACAAAGCCAAACAACTAGATTCCTTGCCAGATCACTTACCACTAAATTATTTTTAAAAATATAGATTGCTTTCTCACATTGTCCTTTAATGAAAGAGTCAGTAGCAGCATCTCACAGCTTCGTGCATAGCATATGGTTACAAGGGTTGAACACTAATGTCTTCTAGAGTAACCGTAAAATCAGGGGATCCTGTGATCACTCCTTGTTGAATCTGTCAGCTCTCAGTGCTGTCTCCTAAGCTGAGACTGATTCAACCTGTTAAGTAAGAATTTAGTTTGGGAACCACTGTCTTCAGTTTTACCTCTTATAATTGTTTCTGTGCATCTTGCAGTGTTCTTTCAGTCCTCTGCAATTTTTTTCTCCCATTCCTGAAGCCATGACCCTTGTGGTATAACTGCTGTGAGTCACACAGCTGGAAAAGAAAACAAGAGTGCTGTGACATGTGCGTGACCATGGAGGTCGTGGGTTGAGGAATGGGAAATTTATATACTCCAGAGCTTGTTTACTGCAGATTTGATGATCCACAAAGATTTACAAAGTAATGATTTTTATAGTACTGCCTATAGCAGCACCTATGTTCTTCTTTCTTGTAAGTAACAGTGATGGCTGGACTCAGACAGCTCACGGGTCCCAGCTAGCCCTGTGTGAGAGCTGGGGACAGGTAGCATGCATGAAAGCTCTGGGCATTAGCAATCTATAGGCTATGACTGCTATTATCAAAGAACTGGTCCAGTTTCATTGCTGCCATCTACTGCAACTTGAGTTTTCCACCTTAATGAACAGACCAGTGGGAAGCAGAGTTTTGCAGATGAGGTCTGAAATGCCACAGTATTGCTAAAAATAATAACAAAAATTGCCCCCCCCCACTGAGGACTTCCAAAATGTATGTATGTTTGTTTATTTTTTTACTTAAAAGTTCAGCTTCCTGTGCAGCATTAGTGGTCTTAACTAATACTCTTTCTGTAGCTCTTAATTTCTTCCCTGCTGATATATTTGGAATATGTCTCTGATACAGCTCTTCCTGGTACCTCCTGTTTTCTGAGCAGTAATGCATGAATGTGTTTAGCTTTTTTGTGTTATCTTTAGTACAAAAACAGATATTCTTTCTTTGTGATAATGAAGACTGCTATATATACTTCAGAAAAGCCTTATAGTGTAATATTTTGGGGGGAAGAGTGATCTTGTTTGCTAAATTTGATTTGAAAAATGTTTATTACAAAAAAAAAGCCTTCTTTTCTAGTACTGGCTAAATGCTGTAGAAATTGCAGTGTTCACTACATACTTGGTCAGAAGGCAAAGTGTATTTGTTCCTATAGCTAATATGGCATATATTCGTAGAATAAAAGCACTTCACAGTCTGCTTGGATATGTTATATGTAGGACTGACTGGGCACCAATGAAATATGAGAAATTGTATGGTGGCCTTAATGACCAATTCTTTTTATTCTTTTTCTTCTAAGGTTTGTATGATTTTATACTTGTTTAAAAAATGTCTTTTCCCCTTCCCCTCTTAAAGGTAGAGACCTGTGGGTTCTTGTTCTGGGAAGGTTTCCAACCCATCATAAGATTGGCATTCCAGAGTTCAAGTATGTTGCTAATATGCATGGGGATGAGGTACGTTTCCATTTTTGCAATGTCATTTATACCAAATACACTTATCAGGGGTTTAGAGTGAACTTTTCTCTGGCATGTGCTACTTATTATTGAGGTATGTCATAACTCAAAGAGGACATAATATGCGTGTATTTCTTGAGGAATTTTAGGAATAAAGTTCCCTTGTTTTGGTGGAAAGGCTTTAGCAGACCTGACATCATAGTGAAGAGTCCTACAATCCTACACCCAAGACATCTCTTAAGTAGAGAGCTTTGTCTTCTCCAAGTGATAAAACCCAGAGGCTTTAACTTTCCTGTCAGTGAGTCAGATTCAGTAGTTTGCTTGTACATTATTATTGCCTAGGCATGGAATAGGACTGATAGATCTCTTCAAATCCATCGTAAGATTAAATAATAATTACTGTGAAGCATCAAATTATTTATTTTAGGAAGAAAATTTATCTTGGAAACCTTAAGCTAGGAACACCTAAATTCACCTGAGCTAACACAGTGAATACAAAACAAAAAGCAATTCCAAAGCAAATAACTTGCTCTAGGAAGAATGCCCACTTAGTAATGATAAATAAGAGAATGGTGATTATCAGCATTCCTGTTGCAGTACATGAATCTGGATCAGAAAGAATCAAAGCTTCACTCTCCTCTATAGTACTTTCTTGCTTTCTACTTTCCTTATTCTTTAGCTTTACCTGCTTATATTAGTCATGTTCAGGATAAGTTTAAACTACTCAATATGTTTTTATGCAGTCTTCATGTGAGGGTTAAATAATTTAACAGGAGTGTGTGTGTATGTATGTGTATATGTATATATATATATATATACTAGTCTGTGAATTCCCAAAACTAGGAAAAATATGTGTAGTAGGAAGTGCATCCTGTGTAAAGGGCAATGTATTACAAGTTATTACTATTAACAATACTGTGTGGGAGCACTCGCACGCCTACAGGCACTTATGATGTTTTGTGCCAAGAATTTTCCCCAAGTCAGACTAGTTTCACCTTGTTTGACAGTGGCTATGCTAAAAGTGCTGCTGGAAATTTGACTGATTTGGAATTTAACTCTGTGTGGGAAGAAGCTGATTCATGGTTTCAAACGTGTTGCTGGACAGGGTTTGCAGCTCCTGAAACCTGTTTTGTGTCAGCAGGGGAGTATACGGTGCCTAGGAACTGAGGGTCCATATGACAATCTCTGATGAAGGGAATGGCAAACCTATGGCTATAGATCACTTAGCTTTGATGGGAAGGAGGTGGAGAACAAGATATGATGTCATCCAGAACGGCATGACTGTCGTATCCAATGTTGCTGCACTGCAAAAGGCCACATATATTGAAGCCTCCACAGTGAAACACCCGTGCCATTATCACTGCCCAGCTGGATACACACAAAGATCTCTGAACATAGGAACAAGCACCATTTGCGTGTGCATAGGGTTGAGAGTTGCTGCAGATTGGCAACTCAGATCACTGCCTAGGATCTAAGTGTTTTTATTGTCTTCATGAGGAAATGAGGCAAGATTTTGTTTTAAAGTCAGACACAGTGCCAGACAGTCTGAGCAGGGTTGATCCTTGAGATGCCTGGGTACCATATAGTATGTGGCATGCTACATTCTCTCTTGTTCACTAGACCAAGCATGTACCTAGGGAACATTCTGGAAATAGAGCTATTCTTCCTTTCAGGCCCTCATGACAATCTTTGCCTAATGGTTTTTTTTTTGTGTGTGTACATATAATGCACAGTTGGTGTTTGTTTTTTATCTGATTGTAAATGTATTTCAGATGTCAGGAAATGAATTCCTCATATAGAGAGGCATTGGAGAATTTGATTTTTTTTTTTCCCTAATCTAAGATTCTGCCGGATAGTCACTGGGGATAGATTCGACTACCCCCTCAATATACTAAGCAGATAAGTTTTGTATGACAATTGTATGACAAGCTTCAATTTGTGTGCCAGAGTCTTTCATAAATTCAAATTGTGGGATTGTGGCTTCATTGATCCAGTCAGATTTTTTTGTGCTTTAGTGACGCTTTCCAAAAATGATACAAAATGAGAAAAGTTCTGTTCTCGGGTGTTGTTTGGTCATGCTGCCCTTCTAACCTGTCATGGTCACACAAATGACACTTAACTTTGAGTTAGCTGGCCAGCTGCTCCTAAAACATAAAAGTTGGGAAGGATCCTGAATTGCATGTGTGTGGGCTGTTCACACATGCTTCTGAAAGAAAATCTAGGTTATTTGGAGAGCTGCCAAACAGGGAAGTTCTAATGAAATAATGTGAGTACACAATTCTAGGAAAAGAGTTGTTTTTTTCAGAACTGGCTGATTTTTTTCTTAATACTGTAGGGCATAACCAGACAAGATTTAAAAGAATTGCTTTTAGGTTCATCATTGCCAAATAGAGTGAACTTTTGCCCCAGATTGACAGAGAGACAACAAAAGACTTCTCCTGTTCTTTGTGTGACTGTATGAAGTTGGGCACCATCTTTAGTAGTACTTTTTGTTTAACCCAAGCCAGATTAAAACTAATTTAAAGTGATTCATCAAAATGACGCCAATAGACTGCATAAGATGCATAAGCCTGTGAAATGTTAATAGAGTCTGCACTGGGGAAGGTGAGGGAGAGTTTGCCTCCTGCTCTGGGGTGGCTCCCATTCTGAATTAGGCAGCAGCTTCTCTTGTCCCAACCTCGTACTCTTGCTTGAAAGATCTTCTCTTTCTCAGTCTGTACACTCACACATTCCTCCCTGGGGAAGAACTGATTCCACTTAACATTGACCACAACCAAACCCCTAAATACCCCGAAGTCATAAATGGAGTAGACCTATCACCTTTGGACCAACTGTGCCAGTGACTTGAGTCCATTCTATACAACTGAACCATAGGATCTAATTGGAAGGCTGTTCCTAAACCATGTATGTCACAGCAGGGAAATCCTTTAAGAAGCATGTCTGAACACCCGTGTGTTTCTGCTTGTTCCCTTTAATGTATATGGCTTTCTTAACCTTCTGCAGCTAGTGTTACTGGGCCATCACGAGATAACATCTTTCCCAGGATGGCAATGCTGATACCAATCCTTTTCTCCTAAAGCATCCGCTTCTGGTTGCTTTATTTTCTTGGTGTAATAGTATTTTGCCTCTTTCATTATGTGAAACTGAGCCTGGACTGATATGTCTGAGCTAACCTACATGAAATGATGTTTATTTTGCTGGCTTATCTTGTGAAATAAGTTAAAGCACCTGTATCCTATTTTCCTTGTCATCATAGACATATTCATATCCACAATAAGGTTTCCTGAGATATGGCATGACATAAGTTTTTTGAGATATTAGGGCTTAGGTGAGTAAGGACTGGAGTAGTTTTATTTGTAATCAGTATAACTGAGACTTAAAAAAACTTAAACAACAAACAAATGACAACACACTAGTTCTTGTATAGAATTTCTCACTCCTATTTCCAGGAAAATAAATGGAAGCTACATTTACACTATCAAGATACCACTATGGAAAAAAAGGCTGTTTTTTTATCACCCAGTTGCAAAAAACCAGTTGTGTCCACATACTACACAATCTGCTATTTTCAGCACATATTCCTATGTCCTTAGTACTCTGCAATATATTATGGAAGTGCTGTGCAGGGAAATAATATGTGCTCTAGAAAATAAAAATATATTTATTAAAAAAAATTGCACTGTGAACTATTTTCCACCTGGCTTCAGTATCAGCTGATGTAATGTTAAGAAGGTCAGAAGCACCAGAGGTTTCAAAATTCAAAGCAATCAAAAAAGCTGCGTGCTGCTGAGATCTGTTTCAACACAGTTCAACACTGCCTTGCCCCAGTTACCTTTTTCCTTATCTTTCTCACACTCTTCTGGGTGGGAAAAGAAAAAGCTATCCATTTGTCAGCCAGGTGAAGCCTTGTGCTGAGAAGCGTGTGGAATTTGTCCAGGCAGTAACAACTTACACCAGTTACTAGTTCAAAAGCAGGCTTTGTGTTGCCATTTCCTTCAGTGATAAACCAAGGAACTGCACTTCCCTGTCGTACATGTGCTATTCTCAGATTTTCATAGTGATTGCTGCTGTAGAAATAAATGTATGTGTGCCAAACTAATTGCATAAACAGTCACTTTAACACTGGTATATTTTAGTAAAGAAGGACAAATGCAGTGGAGTGTGTTGTAGCAGTGCATAATAATTATGTATAACACTGTACAAGTGTTAGAAATAACATCTTATAAGTGTGGCATTTAAGTGGGAAACCAAGATGGACTACTGGTTTCTCTGCTCTAACTCCACTTCCTTAGGTGAGGTTGTGCCTGGTATGCTGAACTAGGCCTGTGGAGCAGCTGGAGCTCAAGCAAGGAAACTGGCAGGACTGTTGCCCTGAAACAGGTCCTACCTGATGGTTTGGATCTTTCTTTCGACATCGTTGAACTTAAAAATCAGGCCACATTTAAGGAAAGAATTTTAATAATAAAAATGGGCAGAGTCCATCCACCAGTAGTCCCCTGGTCTATAGTAGGTCTCTATCATGTGGTAACAACAATGTTCTAAAGCCAGGGGTGCTGCAGTAAAGTATTACAGTGCGGGTTCAATTGAAGCTAACCTTAATCTTCTAACTGGCTTCTTGAGTAAGCTCTCTGGTAGCTGAGCAGGGTGCTGACACAGCCATGCCAGAGGGGAGAGTCAGAAAGTTTAAGGGATATGTGTACAGAAACAGCAGTCACGCCCTTTTCTACAGTGCTGATCCGTGTCCTGACACACGCACACTTCTTCGTTCAAGAGTTCCCCTGAGGAACACTGATAGCCTTTCCTGCTGACTTTCTCCCTTTGGTGCACAGGAGGGAACTGACAGCTGAAAGTGCACAGAGAAACTTAATGTCTAATTGTATCTCTAGAGCTGGGAGAAAGGGCTTTCCTTTGCTTTTCTCTCAGCCTTCATGTGAACTGCAGCAGAACAAAACACCTGGGCATCACCCTTGGGATACTGCAATTGAAACCAAATGTTCATTATGTCTTCTCAAAGCCCCAGAGCTTATAAATGCTGTCCCCTGCTCTTCTCTCTAAGGTGTCTGTCCTTGACTTTACTGTCAGCAAACTACCTTCAGTGTATCCAGATCCATTATTTGAAGATCTAAAGTAAAACTAACTCATAACTTATCCACAGGTACAGCTGACCTCTGTAGTAACGGTAGAGATTGACTGAACAGCAGATGCTTTCCAAGGGCTTGATCAAAACTTGAGCTATAGGTTCCCAGAAACAAAGACTTTCTCTCTCCTTCAGACACCTCCAGATGTCCTTTCTCAAGAAATGCAGGGTACTCTGGACCCAAATGTCTCTGTTGCCCCACCCAAACAATGGTAATAAGTATATTCTTCCCTCAAGAGCAATGATAAAAGAACCAGTTCTCTTATGACAGAGATAATTTGAATTGTTTAATGTGCTGAGTACTTGGGTACAAAAATAGTTATACAAGGATTCCTATAAAATAGAGTCAGTTTTTAAAATACTGTATACATAACTAACTCTGGGGCTAACTTTTAAGGGCAAAGAATGTCATCTGTGAAAAACTGGTCACCTTTCATTCTTTGTAAATATTGTCCTTTTCTATCACCTTCTTTTTTTACTTTTCTTTATCTTTTTTCCCCTTTCTTTTCCTGCTTCTCTACCCTTTCTTTTGGTCAGACGCTGAAGAGAAGTACAGTAGGAGAAGAACCCTTTCCCATTTTCTCCAGACAACAGTGCAGTCTTGTCTGTAGTTTAGCTGTCTCTGCGGTAGGGCCATTCTTGCTGATTCTGAGTCTGTTAGCTTTATCTCTCATGCCCAGGGCCATGATTTGGCTGGTTTCTCTCCCTTCCTTTCTTCACCCACCCCTATATTCTTCCCAAGATGTCTATCACTCAGTTCAAGAGCTGCCTGTGCAAGACAGGTTCTATTGCATCTCTTCGTAAATGTCAGAGAGTATATTTATCAAACTTGCAGAGCAGTCTGTTTTCACCTACTGGGGTGCTGCTTTGAAAGCTACTGGAAATGGAGGAAATTAGGTACCTTCCCCCCCCTTTTTCAAAGCCCATTTTCTGTAGTGTCTACGAAAAGAACCACTTGGTTACTGGCATAGTATATGTGTTTAAGTTCCCCCAGCAAATTACTTGACGGTGGCTTGCAGGAGACCAGCAACAGGGGTAAAACCTAAGAACAAATCCCACCTGGGGGGCAAGGTGGGAAGAGAAGGGCTCTTCCTTTTTCCCTGTGCAAACAGCATGGCAGAATTGCTCGAGTACCAATTCAGAGACCACGGCTGCCTTCAGGTGTGACACTTAAAATGGTGTGATCTGCAACTTAGCCGAGTCAGGTTTGGCTCTGCCTTGTTTGTTTGTTTGTTTCTTCTGCAATAAGCAGCAATTGGCATCTAACTGGCAAGGCATGATTTGTTCCCAACCCGAACAGCAGCTACACCCAGTTCTCCTGCCCCATCATGTGTCCAGGCAGAGGTCCTACTGGATGGTGTCTGTGTTCCCATTTCCCTTAACACCAAAAGCAGAATTTGCCACTTAAAATGCACCAGTGTGAAAATTCAACAAGATAACGGGTGCAGCAAATAGCTGTGGAGAAATATTGCTTTCCCCTTGCTTGATTCTACCTACCTTTTACCTGAGATTAGCTCGGCTGGTTAGAACATGTTGCTAATAAACCAAGGTTGTGGGTTTGATCTGTGCAGGGGCCATTCACTTAAGAGTTGGACTCAATGATCCTTGCGGGTCCCTTCCAACTCAGAATGTTCTGTGCAATATCTGTGAAAAAATTATTAATGTAATCTTAAAGCAAGGAGATGTGTATCTGCAACATGAGGTTCATCTGGTAACGCCACTCCGTGTTCCTCACTTTGAAAAAAGAATTCTTTGCAATATTTCCACCTTAGTGGTGCAAGACTCATTCTAAAAGATACTGAGATGCTGTAGCTCTGAAATAGAGCCTGCAGTGATTTACTAAGCTTTGTTTTTGGAGATAAAGTAAAAATAAATTGTCTCTAGAGCACATCTAGTTACGCATCTTGGTTTATTCCCATTCCAGGCAGAGCCTAGGAACCTTATAGTGCCCTTGAAGCATGGGTCACAGTGCTATGGAAAGTGCCCCTGGAAAGCATAGTCCAGTAAACACTGCAACAGTGGTTCCTGGGGTAGAATAGGATTGATTGTTCATAACTCTGGGTCTAGAACTTGCCACTATTTTACCTGAAATCTGATAAAGGGAGATGTCCTGTCAGCTTTCACAACTTATACAAACTTATATGAACAAAAATATGTGTTAAGCTTTTTCTCTACCACTGCCTTTCCTTGATTAAAGTCTGCATCCAAATGTCCTTCCATGTCTTTTTCTAAGGTTTTATGTACACGTTTGGTTTCCCCAGTGCATGTGTTCACGCCATTAAAATAAAGCAGTGTAGCAGGGAATGTAACAGAAGTGTCTATGGGGCCTCTTTGATCCTGTATTAAAGTTGACTTTCCATAAAAGAGGATCAATAAGAAAAGGCCTGCTCTGCAATTATGGTAGGCTTCTCCTTTCTTTCTTTTGAACTATCACTGCCAAGTGGTGATGTACAGCACTGACACTCCTACACAGGACGCAGGGTTCCTTGGGCATCAGAACAGACCTGTGACTGTAGTGGGGCTGAGAAAACAGAGTGGGGTGTTCCCAAGCCCACATGATCTTTATCAGGCAGTTTTAGTTTTTGATAAGGCTGTGCCTTATCCATGCAGATTTAAGCAGTCTAGCTGATACAGTCAGTTTCCCATTATACAAAAAGCTCTGGTTGATCTGGGTTTAAAACCTTTGTGAAAACCCTCCAGTGATTCCTTTCATCTATGAAATTGCTTAAAATGTATTTAGGGGAGAGCATAAAACAAACCAGTGTTGATTAGAATGCTCTTGTATGCCTTGTATGTCTGTGTAATCCAGTAAGAAAAACCTGGAAGTGCAAGGTGGTGGGTCTTTTTTTTTAGTTATTTTCTTCTTCTTTATCTTCCATAGCAGACTTAAAATAAAATCTTATGTTTTTTTATACAGACCGTTGGGAGAGAAATCCTGCTCCATTTGATAGACTTCCTGGTGACCAGCTATAGACATGACCCAGTTATTACCCGGTTACTCAATAATACCCGGATTCATATCATGCCAACAATGAATCCTGATGGATTTGAAGCTACAGAAGTGCCTGATTGTTATTACACACGAGGAAGGTAAAAGTGGCTTATGAGGGTGGGAGAAGCAAAGGAAATGGGTGGGGAGCAATAATCGCAGATAGCCAAGAGTCTGAATCATACTTGGTGGAGAGGATAGTCTAGGAAGATATGTTAGGGCTAATTTTTTCCAGTGCTGTTCTGAAGACGCACTTTAACAACATGGAGTTTGTGAAGACTGAGTCAGACTGGTGTTTATATGTGGTGCAGCCAGAGAAAATCGGTCAGAATGGCGTAATGACCTCACCTTTTAGGCAGGAGACCCAGATTGTTAATACAAGCACAATTCCCTATTTTGTAGCACCTTTAGGGTGCTACAAGAAAAGAAGGAAAACTCCACCCACAGGGATCTATTTTGGTTGGAGAACTTTGTAACCCTTCTTAATGAGAAAAGGTGTGTCTAAGCTTGTTGAGTGGACTTCTAGCAGTGTGTTTGAAGATTACGTTGAATGCAGATAAAGTAAGAGGGAGGAGTTACGCAGTGACAGCTGGCTATAATAGGTAATAGTTGTACCTATAGTAGCACTAATAGTAGTACTAGGAAAAAAAACTAACCCAAAAGAAAATGCAACCAACTTAGCATTGCATCCTGTGCTACTTTTGTTTTCTTTAATGTAACCATTGCAGAGACCAAAAGGGAATGAAAAGCTTAACAAGCTAGAATAGGGAAAGAGTGAGAGAATGGGAAGAATTGCCAAAGGGACAAAGTTGGAATGTGCAGGAAAACCAAACTCATGAGCTAGAATTTCTCTTGGATCACTGGCCATGGCAACATCAGAAACAAGTGAAAAGGTAGTTTAGGTAGTGTAGTTCTTTGGGTGACCAGTGTAGGCCATCCTTTTATCAGGAAAGAAGTTTATTTCTCAGCAAATAGATGGGACTTGTATGGAGGGGGGTATATTTAATCCCCTCACTGTCAAATAGAGTTTAACTAACGACTTTAAAAATTAACACAATTGACAGCAGATACCCTCTTTACTCCTGTCTGAGTGAAAAAGCAAGTAAGCTTTTGCACAGGCTGGACCGTCGGGTTCAGGGAGAAGAGAATACATTCTGTGTTTGACTCAAATTTTTCTCTCTGACCGGAGATATGGCAGTACAAGGGACACAGCCATTCAGTAGTTACCTTGGTCCTCTATGCAAGTGGGAAAAACACATACCGAAGGACAACGTCCTCCTGATCTGGCTCTGGTTTTTTTAATTCACATATATGTAGCTGTGTGCATGCTATATGCATGTTAAATATGCACTGTTTTCACTTGAGATACAACAGAAGAATTATTTTATTGTGTCCTATGAAAATTCCAGTGCTGCTAGAAATCAAACTGAAATCCATCATCTTAATGCTTCAGAAATAAGAAATGATCATCTTGTTTGTTTCCTGAAGACACTACCATGCCACAGATCTGGAGTACTTGGGAGGCTGGTGATGTGGAGGTGTCTATAGGCAAAACAGTAATGTGAATATCTTCTCTCCTCTCTAAGGTACAACAAGAATGGAGAAGATCTGAACAGAAATTTTCCTGATGCCTTTGAAAATAACAATGCTAGCATTCAGCCAGAGACTCAAGCAGTAATGAACTGGATAAAAAATGAAACGTTTGTTCTTTCAGCAAACTTGCATGGGGGTGCCCTGGTTGCCAGTTACACCTTTGATAATGGTAACTCAGGTAAGCTAATAACAAATTCTCTTCTTCACAGCTGATTTGGTTTAGGAACATTGGCTGTATCAAAGCAAAATTTATAAGGATTCCTACAAGGTTATTCTAGCTTTTGAGCTGGGATGGGCAGAATTTGGTAAACCCCATAAAAATTCACTGCCTAATGTAGCTATTTGGGAGACGTTTATCCTGTGTGTAAGCCAGCACTGTATGCTTTATCAGTAATGAGAGTTAAACAATTGTTGTCTTCATTCTGTAGTTACTGGCTCTTCGAAAGGCTATAGCAGATCTCCAGATGATGATGTCTTTATTCACCTGGCAAAAACCTATTCTTCCCACCATGCCAGCATGTACAAAGGAATTGGGTGTGACAAGAGACAAACCTTTCCAGAAGGCATTACCAATGGATACTCTTGGTACCAGTTGGAAGGTAAGAATCTCAGTGATATTTTATTCAGCTGCTTCTGATATGTCTCACTTTCTCCTGCCATCTTTGATGATGAAAGGACAGTGATTTTACCCAGAGTAGAGGGCTGATGAGGGGAGTAAACCAACTCATTTCATGCAGATTCTCTGAGCAGGACCTGGGTGTTTGCAGTCTCTCCCAGCTAGCAATTACAAGTGAATGAGGCAGTCACTGCTGTTTGGCTGCCTCCGTGCTCTTGCTTAAGGCCTGCAATAGCTATATAGATTATACACACGTGCACACACTCCTTGGCACCAAGATCTTGTCCTCTGAGAAAGAAAACCAATCTTCTGTTCATATATCATCCTTTTGAATTGTTTGATCACTGAAATAAATGTTTTCATTACTGTTTATGTGTAGCCAAATAGAATATGGGCCCTGTGTGCTGTGGCATTGTGTATTGCTTTCACCATCTGAATTCAAAGACATATAAAAGGCTCTTGGAATGGCTTTGGCAAACCGATGAATTTATCTGCCACAATTTAGTTGGAAATGCTTGAATGAATTGTAGTCAAAGATCCATCCTTTCTCAGCCAGAATTGTCATCATTCCCAAAATGCCACTGTGCTTTAGAAAACACCACTCTATGTGTAACTAGAGTAATAAAGTCTGTTTTCCACAGGAGGCAGTAAATACAAGTGTGGCATTGAGGAATAATTTACCTGATTTACTTATTTTACTGGTAGGATGCAAGGATCAACATTTTAATTCTTCTATTTGTCTTTTACTTGGAACTTAGTGCTTCTTTGTAGCTGAACACTCTCTTATTTCACTTTTAAGGTGGAATGCAAGATTACAACTATGTCTGGGGACAATGTTTTGAAATTACATTGGAGCTGTCATGCTGTAAATATCCTCCAGCAGACCAGCTGGAAAAGTTCTGGAGAGACAACAAAGTTGCTCTGATTGAATATATAAAACAAGTACACCTAGGTGGGTATGTGAATGGGGATGGGAGGTGAAGCTGAGGCTGGGTTAGCAGGAACTCTTCAGCAGCCTGGGTCAGTGTCACAGCTCACAGCAGGAGGAGCTCTGGTGTGAACTTGGGAGCTTCTGAACATGAAGTGCTACAAGGCCAGGGATGGGTAAAGGAGGAGAACTCAGGCCTGTCAGGTGAGGGGCAATGGGTGCTACTACAGTAGTGCAAGGGGCTTAAAATGTGCTGGGGCAGGAGCAAGGGACAGGCCCCAGGTGCTGTCTGACCATACATCTCCTCACAGACTCTGCTTTCCTGAGCAGCCTTGGGGCAGTCATTTATTTTAGAGGTGTATGTGTGCCTGCGCACAAGTTTTGTGGGTCTTTTGCTACTTGGATTTTGTATTTTTAAAAGACTTTTCTAGGTGTGACCTGACTTCACAGTTGAAAGAGAGCTGCTGCTTAGTGAAGCAGTGCTGCTTTATAATGAGTTGAAGGCTTGCACAAATCTGTTGCCTATCTTGCATTTTATTGCCCAAAATATTTGTTTTATCTCTGCCTAATGCCAGTGCTGCCTTAAAGACGGTGTGTAAGAATTAAGGGAAAGTACTTCATAATCAGACATTGTTGCTATTCTGCCTTTGGGAAGTACTAGAGAACAGGCTGACTTATTTTAAATTACAAAAAGAGAAGGAAGGGGTGTGTACAAAAAAATGCCAAAGCAGTACTGAAGATTTAAGCCCTTCAGTAAAATACACATACAGTAAGTGTATATGATGCCTTCAGCAAATGAGATTTAGGAGATTATATTGCTGCTTTCTAACTTAACATGAGGGTAAACTATTAAAAACAACAACCAGGCACATTCTGTTTTAATTCCTTTCAGTGAGACAGAAGTGACTACTGATACTATTAGATGTGCTCAAACTCAGTGAAACAGCCTTTGAGTGCACCCAGCAAGAGAACAGTCTTTCTTGGAGGAGGCAGCTCACTACAGTTACAGATCGTGATCTCTCTCCTCTCTCTTTTTCATAGGTGTCAAGGGTCAAGTTACTGATAAGAATGGGGATCCTATTCCCAATGCCATTGTGGAAGCCAAGGGAAGGCCTCATATCTGCCCCTACAGAACAAATGAACAAGGGGAGTACTATCTTCTCCTTTTGCCTGGGACGTATGTGATCAATGTAAGTGTGCAGCCTTACTAAATTATTGTTTCTAATTGCCTTGAATTCCTGAGCACAGTGAGAAGGCATCCTTAGACAGGAGTGAGCTGAACTGCTCGAGTCACATATAGGATCTGTAAAGACCCTTTAGCAGATTTAAAAGAAAATGGTACCTTTAAATGTGAGTCAGCAGAAAGGAAATTTTTTGATATAGTAACATCTCAAGTCCTCAATGTCCAGAAATAAGCACCCATCTGACCTTGATGGTGGAGCCAGTGGGGATGAGCGTCTGGAGCACAACGACTTGAGCTTGAGGTGTTTGAAACAAAGCACAGAGCTCTCAGGGTGAGGAGGTGGATAAGGGCAGCACCGGGCTGACACCACCACTGGTGACAGTTATTTCCTTGTGTCAAAAGGGTTTCTCCACAGAAGTGTTAGAGAACATCCATGCAGTGTAGGCTCTGCCTGCTGTCATCTGAGGGCTTACACTGAGCATCACTGCAGGATGCCCTCTCCTGTACAAAAGGTCTTATTGCTATAACGTGGAAACTTTACCCTTTTTTCATCCCATGTTTCCAAACGTGTATTTAGAACATTTTTTCTTGTACATTTAAAGTGTAAACAAGCACATTAGACTCTGGTTGTTTCACAGCTGAACTCAGATGTTTCAAAACCAAGTAAGAACACTTTTGTGTTTGCTCCTAGGCTACTGTACCAGGATTTAAATCGATGCTGAAGACAGTGGAAATACCTGACAACACTGGTAACTTCAGTGCTTTAAAACAGGACTTCTCTTTCTCAGAGGTCTCTATCAGACCAAGAGTTGCTTCATGTCCCAAAATTCCCCTGTACCAAGAGCTCACACGGGCTTCAGCTGCAGTAAAACCAACCCTACATGTCTTGGTTTTAATGACTGCTCTGCTTGTGATTTTAAAATAAAGTCAGGAATGAGATGTTATGGCCAGGCAAAATCCACCTGCACAAATGTGGCTTTGTATATGCAAAAGAATGTCTGTTTTTATAAACCAAATTCTCAGATTCACAATCACGTTCACTGTATTTTGTAAAATACTGGGTTGACAATCAAATGTTTGACTATATTTTTAATTGTAATAGACTATCATATTTTTCTATGTAAGTATTTTACTCTGAAGAAATTTTGTACAGCTGATGGAGATAACTGTAGAATTTCAATGCAGAAAGTACAAATACATTCTCAAGACTTTGCCTGAATTCAAAAAAAAGTTGAGGATTGTACTGCAAATGTTTTATGCAAGCTCAGGTTCCTCTCTGAACCAACAGCTAAGGTGCCACACAACTGTAAGTGAACAGATCAATCCTATTTTCTCATAATAAAGCCATTGCTATAAATGAGGAATGGCATTTTAAAATATGTTTTTTCTTACCTGGACAGATGAGACTGCTTAGGGCTCAAATGAGGTAAGACCAGTAACACAGACAGGTTTTAAGACAAAAAGATGGAAATGAAGTGTAAGTATGTGCTGAAGGGCCACGCTCCTGGAAACTGGATTATAATCTGCACCATCAGGGAAAAGGGAGGAATTTGTGTCTCTGAAAACTGTGTTCTCCTACAGCAGAGTTGCTGAAAACAATGTGGAAACAGTCACTGACAGCTTTATACCTTGTCCATTTTTAACTGAATTTGGTGTGGAACAATCACAGATAATTCAGATTCTTTGAATAGCTTTAGCAGCACCTTTATATTGCTTAAGTAGTTTCAGAGCCCTGCTGCTACACATGCTGGCAGGCATACTCAGCAAGGCACAAACCAGATCCAGTTACAAAGGCTGGTTTCAGCACTCCCCTGGCTGGGCTGAGATGTTGCAGGCAGGATTAGCAGATTCCTTTTGCCTGGCCAGTTTCGAATCATCCTCCGGGCCCTTTGAAGCTGTCCAATAAACACAAAATTTATCAAGAAAAGCCAGTTAGTACCATCTCCTGTGTTTATTTTAAAACTTTATCTGCCAGTAATTTTCTTACGCAATTTCAAAAGCAAAGCAGAAGAGATTATCTTTGGAAACATCAATCTTTACCTGTATACAGTAAATAAAAAATGCAGGAATGCAGTTAATCCTTTTTAAATCTTTCCTGAGGCACTGCTGTCTGTCACACCAGGACCCACCAGCTGGGCTGTGGAGCTTGGGCATCAGCCACTTACCTGTCTGCCAGCCAGCTGCATTCAGTGTGTGAATGCACTTCAGAACATGAAACAGCATTGCTTATTGGGAATGAGGGCTGCATGTGCAAGATACTATTTTTTAATGTCTTCATCATATCCATTTCAATTTTCTATATTTTCTCACTCTGATCTGCTGTGGGTTGTTTATCGGTCAGAGAAGTGATTAATTATCCACTAAGTCCCACCACTGATAGTTGTTTCTGATCCTGTCACTTATAGCAGAAAGAACTAGAGATGCCTTGAGTGTAAAACCCCCAAAACCCAAGAAATCTGAGAGAAGTCAACAGTTCAGCAGGTGAGTGAGGGCAGAAAGAGTCTGCATGCTGGCTTACAGGGACAAGAATCGGTATGAAAACCAAGTACCAGAACTTCCAGCAATCAAGTCACTGACATGAAAAAAGAAAGAGCACCAAAGAGTATATAAAGAAATCTTTATTTAAAGCTTTTATATGGAACACAGTACTCAGTTTCCCTAGAAAAGGAACAACTGAAAACCAAAAGATAAATGCAACACACTGAAAGTTTTTATAAAGGGATCTATGCACTGTGCAAGTGGAGTGGATACTTGTATTTTAATGGTTACTGACTGTGGTTGTACTTGCACTGGGTAGCCAAAAGGTACACACCATTACAAGCTCTTGAAAGCACGTTCATCTAGGAGTAGTGGCAAAATTGCATAGTTATTTCAATTCACTATGAACTACTCTGTTTAACAGTCATTCCAGCTATGTGTAGTCAGACAACAAAGATTCCGGTTTTAGAAAAGCTATTGGTATTTTAGGTGTTAAGTAATCATCATGTAGACAGCCAATAATTTGGCTCACAACCAAGAACTGTCCTTTAAAATCAGGCTGTTAAGCTAAAGCAACATTTACTCAAAAGGTGAGACAACACCTTTTTAAGAATCACTGACAAATTTTACATGTAGAATATAGATACAGATACACTAGAGAGGCATTCACTTGAAGCTTTCAGTGCATCTGTGCTAAAAATAAAAAAAACCACACACTAGTTAAAAGCAACAATTTTTCACGTTCATTAAGTGCAAGTTTTTAAAAGACACCTTAGGCCTCAGTTTTGTTTTGCTTGTGCAACCTTTAAACAACAAGTAACTCAAGATAAGCCTTTGACTCAGGTATGGAGTGCCACATTGTTAGAACAGATGTAATGCTTTTCACCAATTAACAGTTTGAAGCACTTTTATCCTTTCTAGATCAACCTGCTCCTGGGAGTGGCACAGCACAGCACACGTGGCACACATTTCTGCCATGTGCTCCTTAGGAACACCAACACAAGACTCAAGGGGTGCTGCTCAACAAAGAGCATCACCTTGCAGTGTGAATGTTCAGTACAATCACCTACCCAACTACTTCGGTTTCAGCCTTAAGTACCTCACTTTGCACTTCACTTCCTTGGGTCAAGAGTTGAATTTCAATACTAACAAATAAGTACATACAATAAGTAGGTTTATCATACTTTATTAAAAAGAATAAATGAGAGTTCTTGCACCGTTTATACATTACTGTTGTCTATCTGAAGGAAGATAGACAATGGGCAAGAAGTAAGAGACTAAGACAATTAATTACTGAAAATTGTGTAGTTGCATCCTGTCAGCATCCGGCCTTCCCTGCAACCTTCCTGGTCAAATGTCAAAAAGCAAAAGCCATTACCACCCGTTGCAAATTAACCTTGAAATCTCTCATCGCTGTCCTGCATCTTCCAGACCATCACCCCTGATGTTACCAGCACCAGAAGCAGCCAGTCAGCTCCTTGGCTGTACTCAGGGATACAAAAGCATTCCAAAGGAAAACGAACACCACCAAAATATTCTCACTGTGCTCATGTTGCACCAGCTCCATCTCTAATAAATGTTCAAGTGCAACGCAGAAGTTGTTTTAAGGGACGGAAAAAAGGAAACAAAGCCATAAATCTTTCTGTGCCTTTCTTAAATCTGAATATAATCCGAATATTTCTCTGTATTTTAATGCTACATTTCTTAAATATTTTTCTTGTTATCTACTTAAGTAAGCACACTTATATGACTACACATATGCCAGTAGGCTAATTCAATAAATTAGAGCTCAAAACATTAACTGTGAGCACAAGAATATTTACAAATGGCAATAAATTAAAGATTAAAATGTGTGTGATATTAAATAAGGATCTCAAACACCAAGTAACAACAACTGTCAACAACAACTTTTGTACCAAAATTTTACTGACTTTTGTGCCTCTGCCCAAGGCCAGCAATGTGCTTACAGGCCAGAATGAACAAGGGGGTCGCTGCTCGTGCCCACGCGATGAGGGGGAGGCAGAGCCAAAGGCTCCAGCCTGGGGTCAGGGCCACAGCACTGGGGTCCGTGTGTCACGTACACACCCCTGGGCCCCAGGCACGTGCCTGCCTGCTCCGTCCCTGGTTGGAACTGGAACAGACACCAATACTCATCACTCCCCGATTTGTAGGGCATACACCCAAACCAAGCAAATTCTAGTTGCACTAGAGGTCATTAAGAATAATATTAAGCCAGAAAAATCTTAACTCGAAGTAAAAAGATTTGACACAGTGATTTGCAGATGCAGAAATCAAAATTCCACATTTCCTCACCATTGTATGGATTGGAGGGTATTTCCAGGGCTATTCTCAACAACAGAAGATATGTAAGGGAAGTAAAATTTTAAAGCATAAAAGGGAAAATTCATTATGCTGTATGGTCTCAGTCTATCTTTTGCCAAAACAGAAAGTGTTACTGGGAAATTGCTTTAGAAGAATAAACCTAAAGGTGAGTGATTGTGAACAGCAAGGATCACCACTCTGGCCATACCTCCCTTTCTGAGAGATGAAATATTTTTTTTTAAGTATGGAGATCACTTAAAGGGATTGATTGTAATAGAATAACAAGAGTGGGATGGTACAATTTGTCCCAGTAGGAACGGGGTAAGGGCAGCTGCTCCCCCTGCATGGCAGTTACACAGCCATGGTAGTGACTGCAGAGAAGGGATCACGCTGAAAAACCTTAGACATGGGAGACAGTGTAATGGACAAAGCTTTTTATAGATGAGGCTTTTTAAGTACAGTCCCCATGTTATTGAGCCTTCTGCATATACATGCCTACAGTTTTCTCTCAGCTGCAGATCCCTGACCACAACAAGACCACTGTTTGGTCTCACCTGCAGATGCAACGAAGAGCCTCTGAAAGCCTCAGTGCAGCTAAATAAATAAAATCAAAAATTAAGAAAAATTAATAGGAAGTGTAAATTAAGGCCCTCTATTAGCACCCCTACTTGAAAAAATTAAATATCTACCCAAAAGCCTTCTCCATCTCAGGCTGAAGGATTATCAAATCCCATAAAACCCATGAAGGGTTTCTGCTGACCAAAAATCTTCCAAGAACTTCCAGATACCTGCTGTTGCTTTACAAATTGCAAGGGGCAAGAAACTTGCAATTAAGAATTTGACAAAATGTATACACCTGGGGGTTGTATTTGTTTAGTTAAAATGAACTGCTAGAACTTCAGACACACCAGGATCTTTTAGTGGTATTTAAAAAAAAAAAAGCTCAAATGTACGAACAAAATGTGACTGATCCCAATAATTCAGACTTTACCTATGAAGGTATTTCTCTGCAGGCAAGTCACAACCAAGGATTTACCAAGTCTCTCCTGGACATCTTTATGTCCTTTTCCTAGGCACTTCAGGCATTACCTGGAGGCAATGATAGCAGTAAAAGTCTTTGCGCCAGCACACAGGCATCAGCAATTCTATACTGGTGGCATTGGAAAGCTGTTGAACCTTGGCCTGCAGGATAGTAACACAATGCAATTTCTTCATTTAGGCTACATCTCCATTCTTGGAACTCCCCTGACTGCTTATTTGCCATTCCTGTTGGGCAGATGATTAGCAACTACCTGTAAAAATAAAAGGTGCTAAAATCATACAGTTCCTCTTGTAATCTAGTTTTCCAAAGGAATAAACATCACTCACTGGTACAGAAACTCTCCATGTGAAATAGAGCCGAATGATTTTTACCGTATCCCACAGGAAGA